CCCATTATTTGTAGAGCGGCCTAAACCAAGTGGAGTGTCGAGCTGCTGGGCGCGAGGACGTTTTGAACGCTCGTCATATGGCTTGTCGAGCGGTTTGTTAACGCTCGTGTTGAAGTTTGGTCGAGCGATAGAGATCGAACGTCCTCGAAAACGAAAGGCCGAACGCACGCAAGGCTGATTGCGGGGCATCTCAGGACGAACGTCCTTGACGAAGAGACGAACGCTCTAGGCCGAACGTCAATGTCGTACTTGAGGCTGAGCTAGGGACGCTCCAAGACGAACGTAATTAGGGACGGTTCAAGACGATGTCATTGATGAGCGACGTGACAACGCTCTAGGCCGAACGTTAGCCGTTTCGACATTCGTATACACTCATTGTTGAAATGGTTGGACGAGCGCTTGTTGAAAAGGATGGACGAACGCTTGTCCAAATTTTTGATTGTCGAGCGTTCGTGCTACAAAGCGAGGGCGAGCGGTTTATTGTTGGACGCTCGTCCAGTTGTTGAGGCCGACTGTTGGGACGCTCGTACATAGTGATTGTCGAGCGTCCTCGAAGCCGAAAGTCGAGGTCGAACGCTGGAGTATTTGAGGAATAGAAATTAGGTTGGATGACGTGGAGGCCAAACTGAATGACGCTGGGTGGGAGCGAGTCTTGCGGAAGACGTGGAGAATGGGTCTGCGATCAGTTTGGCGATCTTTCGGGTGGGAATCTTCCGCGCAAACGGCGAGTCTGATGACATGGCTGGAACTGAGTTCAATTTGGGGATTTAGGGTTTCTGTTCTCCGATTTTGGGGATTGTGGTTTGTGGAAATTGGGAAATTAGGGATTTCTGATGTGCCTCCTTATCCTTAAGTTCTAAGGAGGCAGGAACTGAAGTCTGGTGGATGAACCGTGACCCTGTGATCAGAGCGTGAGTGATGGCAGTGGTGGTCTTCTTTGCGGACCAGGCTCATCACCAACTGTAGAAGATTGTTCCCGTTCTTACGAATTGGGGTTGGTTGAGGGAGAGCGGCGACCCTGGCCGGCACAGTGGTTGAGCTTGCCGAAGATTCGATTCATGGAGGAGAAGACTATACTTCTCGCGCGCAAACGAGAAGAGAAAAAAGGGGAGCCTGATTTCGCGGCCGGTGACGACCTTGACGAATGGCGGTGGCCCTGGTTTGGTGGCTTCAGCCGCGACTGGTGATGGTAGGACTCCTTCAGACAGTGACGCGGCAAAGAGAGAATCTCGCACGCGAGAGAGGAGAAGGGGAAGAGCTCCGGTGACCGGCCGGTTTGGGCGGAGATATTGGCGAGTGTGCGTGACTGGGTAGGGGTACTTCTCGTTAATTGCTTTGGAAGAAAAATCTGGGTGTTGGGCGTTGGTTCTGACCCGCATGATTTCAAGGGGTGTGATTTCAAGGGGTGCGATTTGCTGATGGAAGATGAGTTTGGGGCTTCTGCTACGAGACCCGCATGAGGGGTTCACAGATTTGGGATTTTCATAACTGATGATTAAAGCGTGAGGGAGTAAGGATGGTCTTTCCGGGTGAAGGCGGAAATGAATGAGTTCTGATTTGCACCGTTTCCTCTTTGCAGATATGAATGAAGGTCTCCGAGGAAAATGATGAACGAGCTCGTGAAACTCGTGATCTGGGTTGGGTTTGATTGCGCGCTTTGGGGTCTGAGGAGTGGCGTCAATGGAGGTGCTGGTGTGGGTGGTTTCCGTCACTGTCGCAGGATCAGCGTGACCATGTTTGGGAGGTGATGGAGATGACTTAATGATTCCCCTGTGACGGTGGTGTTCGGTGACGGAGGCTGATGGACGGACTTGATCTGGAGGCGTTCTCTACGCTGGGTCTGACCCGTAAAGAGGCACAATTTCGCAAACGGTGCTTACAGTAGCACTAATGGCTCAGGGGGAGAACGATGCTGCAGTTCCATCTTGTTGGAGTAGCTTTATCCGGAGAGGTGATTTCTTGAGGCCGAGTGCTCTTCTTGTGGTTTTTGTGAGATGACACTCGGCCCCACGGTGGGCGCCAAAATGTTTCGGGGTACATTTTCCTGTGTGTCTCTGTTGCTCCGGATGTCTGGGATGCTTGCATTCTTCAATTGTTGTTCTTCATGTTCGTCAAAGGAGGGGGAGGTACCTGCAAAGATTACTCCGACGCTCAAGTCAGATATGAGTTATGGAGCTGAAGCTCCTGGCGAGAGCAATTGGATACTGCTCTGAAATATTATTCAGGATCTCTAGAGCATAAAGAAACGTACCTGGACTTGGGTCCTGTCACTGTATTTATAAGCAAAATAATATAACACCTTACCTAAAAGTGTGGTTAGTTGGCTTTGACTGATATTTTAACTTGCTAAAATATCTAAGATATTTATGTTATTACATAAATATCCTTACTACATAACAGTTCTTAATTATTTGAAGTTAAATATCTTTTATTTCTAGTATTTTCCACTATTTCTTAATTATCTTTTTATTTTGATGCTTTTGAATACTCTTTTCATCACTCTATTTTGAGTGCAATGTTATCAAACTACTTTTCATCACTCTTTTCATCATCTAGAATAGTTATCATTTGCAGTTATCAAACTACTTTTTGAAGCTATATTGCAAATGTTACTTATTTTAATAATTCACAGTTATTTAATTTTTGTAATAAAACATGTGTCCTTTATTAATCAAAGTTCAAGAGTTATAAAGAAAACAGCTGTGTAAATGTTTTTAAAAATTCTAAACACAAACATCTTTGATTTTAAATGTATTTTTTTACTGAAAACATTGCTATAAGAGATGTCACCGCACTCCATATTTTCAAAAGCTATAGATGATTAATTTTAATGGAAAAAAAATCAATAAAATCATAGGATTAAAATATCTATAAATGATAAAGATGATAAATTATTCGAAAAAAGTATAATTATTTAAAAGTATAAAATTACTAAGGGAATTATGCATTTTCAGCTACATTTTTGTTACACATTCAGGACTTGTTATTTTCATTAGCTTTGCATTTGATTTGTCATAAACTCTATTAATTTTATCCTAAAGTGACTGAATTAAAAAAATAAAGCATTGTTGATGTCGATATTTAAATTGTCATTGATTTGGATTCTTAAATTATGTAAATGATGTGGGACATATTTTTAAAACTAATCTAATATTTCAAAAACTAAAGAAGATATTAAAAATTCTACTTTTAAGCACGGATATGAAATATGAACAAATCATTTAGTTACTGAAGCTATTGCTTATTACTTTGTAGTTAAAAAACAATAGTACTAGCATTATAGAATTATAGATGTGAAAATGGATTACAATCCGTATACCAATCCGGTTTATCACGATTTCGAAATCGAGTTTGGTTTGAAAAAATTATATTTTTTTATGTGGGTCAGATTTTAACCCGACTCATGCGGGTTAAATTCGTGATGGACCAAGGTTGACCCACCAACCTACCTATCCAATTTTATTTTATTAAAATTTAATTTTAATTTTATAAAAAATATTTATTATTTTTTTTGCTTGAAAAAATTATTTAAATTCCTTATTTTCAAAATTAATTAAACACTTATGTTCGGAGTGAAATTTAGGTGTGAAATTTGTTTAGATTTGAATTACAAAAATTTGGTAATGTTTTTTATTTAAAAAACAATTGTAATTAAGTGAGTCAATAAACCAATCCATTTATCCACCAACCCGCGGTGGTTCAGACCGGATTCGAATTTTTCAAACGCGTTAATAAATAAGCTGGGTTAAATTGACTCTAAGTGACCAACCTAACCTGTGCTGGACCGGGTCGGATGATCAATTTTCACATCTCTAATTGACATGTGACAATGCTAATCTTGGGGACAATATAGTTATGGTGATTTCTTTTTGGAAGAGAAGTTGAACTATGCTACAGAACTCACTACTGTTTGAGGCTGGCTATCCTGTTTCTATTTTCAAGCTTTTCCTAGTAAGTGAACAGGAAAATAGAAGTGGTGAAGTGCTTTTGTAGTGCAAATGTTAATTATTGGAGCAAACTTTGTCTGCAAACAATTTTTTTTTATTTCTTCACTAGCCATCATATTGACTTTCCCTGCCCCTCCCCACTTTTCCCTTTCTTTCAACAAACTTTCTTTTCGTGTTTCTACAAAAGTGGCTGACACCTTTGCCTCCCCTTGGATCCATCCTTGACTCTCGATAAATGCAAAACAAAGGATAATGTTGTTTATGTATCACTGTCTTACAGCACATTGTTGTACAATGAGAAGAGGTGCAGCAAGAGAAGAGAAGAGAACTGTGAAATGATGTAAAAAAGAGAGATACTCAGAAAAAAAAGTTTTAAAACAATATATACTTTAATATTTGATATTATCTTTTCTTACTTTTCTTTACTCCAGAAAGCCTCCCTCCTAAAATAAGAGTACAACAGTTAATCCATGTTTACTACCCATCTTAGATTTGGTGTTTTCCACTACATCTAATATTGTTTTTAAATTGTCGGTGCGTAATTCTATATTTGTTTGTTCTTCTCTTCAATACAATTACTATTTTAGCCAACATATGGCATAACTTCTCCATACTTTATATAGTGCTACCATATATTTCTTTTTTTTTTTCAATTTTTTATAAAAAACAGTGAACATTTCTTGCTTCTTTTTTTCTTTTCTTTTCCTATTAAAGTCTTTGAAAACTAAGAACAGACTGAAACATAGCCATCCAAAACGTGTATGGCCATCATATTTTTCTCTTAAATATAGCCATCCAATCCAAACACTATCTAAAATAATAGACTGTTTAATAAAATCAACACATTCATCAAGTACCCTATCGACTTTCTACAATAGCCAACCCGTGTGGAAAGGTGTGTAGCAACAAACTCATTGAAAAGCTAATGAATTGATTTACTTTTTAAAATGAAAGAGCACACTCTAAAATATGAAATGCAGAAGCTATTAGTGCATTTATGAGTGGAGTAAAAAATTATTGACATTGGCAAAATGAATTGGTAGCACAAAAATATAAGCCAAAATAACTTTATATCAGATACCATTGGGAACTCCAAACCAATAGTTAATGATACAAACACAATTATGTATCGGTTCAACAACCCTCTCCAAACTGAAATCTCTAGTTCTCTTGTTCATTTTACAAACTTAGTCATCCACTTTTGTCAAATCTAATAGTAACAGATTTTGTCCTAGGTAAACTGACAAGCAATGAATTAGTTCTGATTTTGATGGATTTAGATACTAAAATTCAGCTGATCCATCCCTCTGAAAACTGTTAGCACCAAGCTGTAATTTTGGACTTGTAATATGCCAAAATTACAAAATAAGCCAGTGCAATTACTGGTTTCACCCAGCAGCAACAGCATCAGCTCTAGGATTTGTATCCAGTAGTTGATGCAGCTTTGCACCAGAGTTTGGTTTATTTTCACAAAAATCATTCTCATCCTCCATAGTTCTATCGTTGGAACTAGAATTATTATTAACTCTAGATAGTAAGTTTTCTGTGCTTACAGGTGTAGCACTCTCGCTGTCAATTATGTTCAAAGTTATCTCTTGTGTTTGTCCCAGTCGAGCAATTTTAAGTTTTTCCTGAGTCAAAGACAGAATGACATTCAGCATTAAGTAACACAATTAAATGCATGTGCAATGAGGAATAGTCAGTGAAGAGTACCCTTAATGTTGCATTTTCCACTCTCATTTTTTCGCAACTTTCAGTCAGTCGATTTATTTCTGATTTCAGTGTCCCATTCTCAGAATTCAAGGAATCAACTTTTCGTGCCAGTTCTTCAGTTTCAGCCTGAGAAGCATGAATGTGAGCATTAGTCACAAGTCCATCGAATACAATCTTTACTTTTGTTTTTCTGGAGGGTTGCATGCGCAGGAATCACGTGCAACAAATGTTCAAGTGAGTGATATCAATTATGATTTTTAAATTGGCAACGCAAGAAGTAATAGAAGGTTTACAATGTTTTAGAAGAAACCCCACAATATTTATATACCTGCTTCCTTAGTCTGGACCTTCTAGCAGATTCTCGGTTAGATTGTTTCCGCCTCTCTCGTTTCAGCTCACGCTCATTCTACATAAGTACATCATACCCACAAGAATTACTTTGGTGTCAGAAAAAGACGACGAAACCTCATTATTATTACATATCATACACATTTACATGTATATAAACGTGCTATATATGATCTGAACAGCTAGGATGAATTATATATGCTGACCATACCTGTAACCAAGTTTCTGCAGGCAATACAGAAGGTTGTGGTGCACTTGTGGTATTTGCTTTAGAATGAACACTGGAAGGATTTCGCAGCTCCAGCACGGTGGTCATACCTGAAGAAACTACAGGTCCAACTATTGTTCCTGCAACACTGGCGGGGGCAACTGCCACGATCTTATTAGAAGCTGCAGTATCTTTGGAAATGGGACTGCTTTGTATCTCAGTTTTCTCTTCTCCATCTGCTAAAACAGTGCAGAAAAGAACAACCATCAACACAGATTATGTTCGGAACCTACTGTAAACTTCAGACTCCTGTACTTAAAATAACACACTTTGGCTTGTAAGACATTTCAACAACAATTGTAATTTGCAACCATGAGACACCAATACCCCATACCACATTTACCAAACTAATGGCAAGTATGAAAACCTCGGCAATTTCACCTTGATGAAAATATTTAACAATAGCATTTAATTATCAAGACCCAACTGAATAAACAGATTGAACACCATGCGTAGAGTGATGACAACAGAAGAATAATCGTGATCCCAGGTCAACTCTATTATTCATCAAGATGTGATACTTGGTGAAGAACAGAGTCATACCAGTGGTTGGTGTTCACCCACGGCTTCTTTTCCTTCTTGTTTGATTAGCCTGAGCATAAGATGGGCAAATATCATATTTTAATGTTTTAATTTAGTCAAGCCATTTAAAAAAAAACTACATGTGAATAATTTCAAATAGTCAACAAAATGCAGCAAAAAAAAATGCTAATTGCAAGCAAGTTCTCACCCCTGAAGTGTTGTCATCACTTCCATCACTGGAACCCTCAGTATCCACACTGTTCACATCATGGTAAATTATTCAGTCATCCACAAGACTCCCTTACATTAATCAATTCGTGGACCACTATTCTAGGCAGGGGGAGAAAGTAGTTTTTACTCACTTAAGAGTGTCAAATGACATAGTTTCCCCTCTCCACCACCCCCAACACGTGGGAGATGTCTAGAAACTCAGATAGCATGCATTAAAATATTCATACAAAAAGAAGACAGATCAACGAACCTCGGTGACAGCCTGTTTTCACCTCCACGCTCTGCACTTTCAGCATGGCCATTGCCTATTGACATAGCAAGTCCATCAAACTCCTTCAATTTCTTCATTAAACCCTGATCATTATTTCCTGATGATTTGGGTGGCGTCTCTATGCTTAAAGGAGTCACAGCCTGTATTGATATACCAATTCAAACCAATCATAAACTAATAGTATTCAAGGACTTAGTAAGAGTTGGTCTAGGATGAAATTAAAACTTACAGCAGGTGAAGACGGAACTCCTTGACTATGTGTATGTGGCCCCTATATTTTGTACATAAAACTCATAAGAACATGCCTCAAATTTCCTACCAAAAGAAACATACTACTTAGGAGTAAAAGCCTTTTATTACCCATTTTATACGCTATAAATAAATCAAGATTTTATTATATTAAGGTTATCATGGCATGGAGAAGTTAAGCAGCCAGGTGTAAACAACTGCTAGATTACTAAGGGCCAACAGAAACAGAAGAATCACATCTCACTATATTCTTAACATCTGTTGTCCTTCCTTTTTCAATACATTATAAGTACACCCATGCATAGACCAGAGAAAGAAAACTAGTTCCAATAAGAGAAAGGTTAATTAAATAAAAATAAAAGGAAAAAGTAAATTGCAAGAATGCTAGCTTACGATAGGAACTGCAGGGTAAACCCCTCCATGTGAATAAATTGCTGCATAAGGAGGCCCATAAGGTGGCATCATAGGCTGGAAGAAATAATGTCAGCAAGTTAATCAGCCTTGTCATCTGGAATACATACAAAACATGCAAAAAAAAAAAGAATCCTTATCCACACACAAATGATTGCATTGAGATACTACTACCTGTGGTGGACCCCACATGTATGGGTGAGGAGCGTGACCAGAAGCCACAGCCGAGTTGTAGTATGGTGGCATGGTGACTCTTTGCCCATAATATGCCTGGAGATATATAGCAGACATTTTAATCCATAAAACAGTTTCTATTCCCTAATTAGAGGGCAAATATGCTCATAAAGAATAGATTTGGAAGGGATAAAACTTAATGGCCTCATACCATCAAAGCACGTCTGATCCTAGATATTAACGCAACTGGTTGCCAAAATTAGTGGCAATTCAGGGCATAATTTCAGTTTGGCATTGTTTATGGAAACATATTGATAGCATATAAAAAATACGAACTAGGTAATAAAAAGGACCAAAGGAATGGCCCTCTAATACTAATATTCAGAGAGAATGATAAATAATTCACGAGAGGGAATATAAACAGCTTTTATCTGTTCATTGCTTCGTCCAGTGAAAAACAAAATAGAAATACAGAAACAGTATTTTTAGATGTAAGATTTCAAATATGGAATAAATAAGACAATGAAGATAATGTTCTCCAGGTTGTCAGTGTTAAGACAAACTCATTGGCAAAAAATCTTCAAAGAGAGCAAAGAAGCCGGTAGACAATCAAATAATTGATTTTGTTAGAATAGTACAGCTTAAACTACTAAAATTTGAGTGTATTAGTTTACATTGAAGCTAGCTAACAAGAAACTGATTGACTACTTCAGTCACCAACAGACAAAGTAATTCAAGGCAAAAGGTAGGTAACCTGCATGGCTGCCCAATCAGGATATACATGAATATTGGGCTGGTTGGTCTGATTGGCCTGATCCTGTTCACAAGTTTAAACAGCATTAAAATACAAGCTTGTTACAAATTTGTCGAGAACCAGATACACCCTTATTAACTCACCATTGTTGCAGGTGAAGAAGGCTTTTCAGTCTTGGTAGATTTTTCTTCCTCATTGTTTCCCATTGTACACTCCAAATAGAGAGCACTAAGCCAAATAATGTATAAGGAGCTTCCCTACTTCTGGAAAAATATCTGAACTGCGTTAACAGGAGGCATGTCAGCTTGTTAATTGGTATAAGCAAGAGAATGTCCCAACGAAATTAATAACTTTCATTTAAAATCTACATGTCATCCAATATATTCTTGGCAACCAAGATAATACAATGTTTACTGATTATAAACGGTTTACTGTTGTATCCATGAAAGTATATACAACAATAGCAAAGGGGAAGTGCGATTCCAGCAATTTCAAATTAGTACATGATAAATCAACTTAAGAAAGGGGGAAGGGGCTAAACAAAGATGCAGGACTAACATACATCATTATTACATCGAAGGAATTGATGTTTTAGAAGCTATAACAGCAGGTGGAAATCTGATTCAGTGTATAAACACTACATATCAGTAGAAAGATTCCACCACAAACAAATAGTGCATAGCAATTTCTGCCGTCTAGTTTACCTTCTATGCTAGCATAAGAAAGCACCCTAAATAAATTATAATTTCCTAGATGGAAAATCAACCATCGGATTAGATTCAACGAGTCTCAAGTGAAAAATCTAGAACCCAACAAAGATGACCATCCTGATATAGGTAAAAAATTCACGATGGAGTTGGCAAGGTGAAACACGTTTCAAAACATGTCAGTATAACCGACTGATCTATACCGAAGAGAAGTTCAACAGTAGAGAAAAATGAGATGATTTCATAATCAATTAGAGACGGTAAATGCTTAAGGAGCAGAGGGGGACCTAAAGATACTACTGGGCCATCAGAGAAGGTACCAACACACAGTTCAACTTTTCTGGCTCCTTGTTTTAGAGAAAGTGAGATTTCAGAAATACCTTTCAGGAAAGGCTGCAGTATTAATGGTAAGCTACAGATACATAATTCAATCCCGAGTAGACGCAAGAGTCAAACACAGAACGGTAAAGGGTCAATTCTGTCTTTTGAGCACTCCACAAGCCGTATGGAAAGGGAAGAACACACGCAACAGACCGTGCTATAATCCCTCCCAGGAACACAACCCGCTAGCTAAATGACAAAAATACCCTTCCAAATCAAACATTTTTCACTTTCACACGAATCAAGGAAGCTGAGAAAACGAGTGAAACTCCTTAATTAGCCAATATTTTAGCCCCGATCCAGACACCCTCTCCAGTTACAGGAAAACGAATTTCACAAAAATAGCATGAGGCCAAAAAAAGAAAATAACATCCACGTGAAATGAAAAACGCTTCACTGAGCAAATCAACACAAAGAAAGCACACAGACTCGAAACTCTCACATATGCAAAACGAGATCCAGATGAACCCCAATTCTAACCCTCTTGTTTAAGTAGGCAAAAATTCAAATGAAAAAAAGAACAGAAAATTCACGGTACCTCAAGTTCTCTTGCTGTTTCCAATGAACAAAAATCTAAACTGAAAAGCATATAATATGTTCCTCTTCTACTCACTCTCCAATCATGAAACTTAAAATTTTCAGGCATACATTCAGTTTTCACATGCCCAAATACAAAAAGCATTAAAAATCAAAACTTTCGACCAACGTCACTGCAGAATTCCACGTACCTCACCAGATACCCAATTGGCCAAATGTTATCCTCACCTACAAAACACCGAGCCAAAAAAACCATAAAAACACAAGGGGAAAACACTCCTGGTAGCTCCAAGTATCCAAACAACGGGTCAAGGTATGGAGAAGCAATTAATTTAGATGGTAAGTGTGCATTTTCTCTTTCTAAAAAACGAGGGAAACAGCAGTGTGCCTTGACACAAAGATGGGGTATGGTGGTGGTGGTGACAAGAAGGGAAGGAAGGAGCGCGAAGGCGAAGTCCACCTCACCTCCCACGTGTCGTATGTGGAATTGGGCGTATACGTAGGGTAGAGTAGAGCGTATATACGATGTGGGTGTGGTGGTTGGTTGAGGTGGCGATTTGTTTATTCCAACGTCACCAGAGCCGTACACGTGGTGGTCGTGGAATCCATCTACGCGTCTTGTGTTAGGGTCCAGCCTAGCTAAGCCACACCACACCCTCTTGTCATGTGCCTTACGTGCCCTTTCAGATTCACGTTATCGATTATATTAATTTATTATTAATACTTTCATTTCATTAAACTAAATTGAATAGGTCATTTGGAATCCACCAGTAGCCACCTATGCTCAATTTTCTCACGCACACCTTGTAAGAGGGATTACTGTTTCTGATATTTTGCTTACTTTTTGCCACACAGAAGTGCATCGTATCTTCTTTCTTTCTTTTCTCTTTAATCCCTTTTGAAAGCCTTTAGGTCTAACCTATGGTAAAGCCCGCAAATTTTTTAATTCGCTTTCATCAGCAACCAAAGTTAGGGTTGCAGAGGTGGCAAGGTTGTCTTTTCGTGGTTAATAATAATGCCCAGAAACTGCCATGTCTTCACCATTAATTTAACTGGTCCTTCAAAAATTAAACATGACAACAGTATTATGATGGTGGTGGTGAGATGCTGACTCCTGAAACTGAAATCTGCATAATCCATATACATGGTTAATAAACAAAAAGTAGCATCAATTATACAGCACTCCATTCTCTCTGTAGTGGGTCTCAATTCTCAGCACAAGTTGTTATCCCATGTACGAATACATTATAAGAGACAGAGTTTCATTTTTGTTTATTTTATTTTTATGAATATATTTATTCAAACTATAGAAATGTATGTATGATTAAAATTATTACAATAACTACTACTGGTTGAATTTATAAATACAAATACATGTTAAACTAATTTTCAATTTTCTCATACCGTGAAGTGTCAACGTGCAATAAATATATGGTGACAAATATAAAAGTGTTTATTTCTTTTAACAAGACAAAGAGTGCAAACAAAATTTTAAATTATCGAAAAAATAGAACTACAAGTTTGTGTAAAAGTAAAGGAAAAATATATGTAAGTTTTAAGATAAAATGAAATTATATCGATAATTAGTAATATTAGAGGAGCTAATAAAATGTAGAGAGAAAAAAAAAACTCAGTTACAAACATATATTAATGCTTTAAAAATATATGATTGGATTAAAATTGTAAAAAATATTATTGATTTTGGTCGATTTGCTCAAATACGACGATTTTAAAAAGTACAGATTTGTTTTTTTTAAGTCGAGCATTTCTTGTCTTTTATTTGAAAGAAAAAAAAAGTTTAACTATGTTATTGAAACAAGAATATTTATGTGTATTTTATATATATATATATATAATTAAATGAAAGCTGGTAACATAAAACAGGTGGAATAAAACTTTTTATAAATTTTTTTGAGAATTATTAAAATTATGTCATTCATTTAATAGGTATTATTTTTACTTTGCAAATTTAGGAATAAATAACCTGGTGAAAGACCACAATGTACTAGAAAAAAGAATTCTGAATTTAAACCCAATTTTCAACGCACTCAACTACGGAGAAAAAGGTTAAAATCCTTCTACATTTTTATTTTTACGAAAAATCAATTTTTTTAATTTTTATTTGGTTTAATTTAGATTTTTAGTTTTTAAAAATATTCAATTAACTCTTTTGTTAGATTAACGTTAGATTTTTGTTAAAATTTATATATTAAATCACCCACCTAAATTAACATAAATATTCAAATTAATTGTATTTTGTAGGTAAAGTTATTTGATATATAAATTTTAAAAGAAATGTAACAAAAATAACTTAATTGAATCATTTAAAAAATTAAATGACTACATCAAAATAAATAAAAATTATGAATTTAATTGAATTTTTTATAAAAATTAGAAGACCACGATAAAATTTTAATTACGGAGAAAGCAGTTGGGCTAAAAAATAAATATTTATCCACGAAAAATTATAAAAATAATTACAAATATGAGTAGTTTATTGTCGAAGTATTTCATATATGTAATTTATATGCAAATTACTATATACTAGTATTTTGACTTGTGTTTTGATTTTTAATTTGAATACGCATCAAATAATTCGTGGTGTTTTAATTTTCAATTTGAATTTCGTTTATGAATTCTAAAACGATTTCTGTATTGTGATCAACAATTTGTCAACAAAAATTACAAAACCAAACATGCAAATATGAACATAGGAATTAAGTAGGAACATATGGAAAAAACATTTACATCTTTCACAGGGAAAAACATTTATATCTTCAAATATAAAAGAAACCAAATTTAGGAATAAGTAAACAAACCTATATGCAAGAAAAAAAAGAGAAAGTAGGAGCTCACGTTGTATATGTACCGAGCTTATATACAGAACTTGTTGAGGTTGTATTTTGTGGAGCTTATCTCCATGTTTCTCTTGTCAAGTTTTTTTTCTATTGAGATTGTGTGAATGTTTTTCCTACTAAACTTTTGGGACGACGAAAAAATATTTCTATTCAATTTGTGTATTGTGGTTAATAAAAAAATCTCATTTACATTTTTTTTAATAATGTATTCGTGTTAGGTTGTAAAAAAGTAAAATAGTCACGTTTTACAAATTAAAAGAATAGTATATTCTTTCTCTTAATTAAGTTTTGACATTTATTTATTTATTTTTAGTTGACCTTTAGAAAAATCCTTTTTGTGATGATTGTAAATATTATTTATAGTTAACTTTGTTATTTTAATAGTATTGCTAAAAATAAGGGCTTGAGAAAAATGTGTTTGGATATCATGATATGAGTGCTTGCGATTTAAAAATATGGAGAAATATGATGAAACAATTTAAGAACACTGAAAATTTCACGTAGAATAATAATAGAATCAATTTATAATTATAACCTAATCCTACCCATTTTGTAAGATTAAATTAAAGATATAATGGTTTGTATATAAATATAAATACTAATTAAATCTAAACAAGTGGGTAACACTCATGTATTTTTTTTAATTTAAATATTTTTTTATAAAAACCTCTAGAATCATTTGAGTTTATAAAATGTAGAAACTACTGCGAATAATTAAAATAGCAAAAGTAATCATTTTGGATAATTTTTGTATAAATATATACAATAATATGATGATGTTTTTTTGTCAACGTCAATTTTCTCACATTTTCTCTTATTTTTTTCTCGTTAAATTTCTTTCACTCTTCTACACGCTCTTAAAGTTTTGTATTGGGTATAGCCAAATTAATATCAAATTATCAACCTATTGAAATCCTTAAATTCCTGAGTTTTCACTAAACTCATAAGATAACCCAAAATATATATAATTTTATTTATTTATTTACATTGTTTTTAAATCAATTTATCATCTTTCAGTTATCACTATATGAAGTCATAAACAATAACATTTTCAATCATTTGAGTATCATGTATTTTTTTTTTATAAGATCATATAATACTACGCTCAACAAAAGAAAATAAGTAAAAAAGAATAAGTTAGGTTTACTTCTAAAGAAGATAAACTTTTCGTCTAATAATAATTACATATTCAAAACGATGCAGTTGTAAGGGTAAACAAAAATAATAATATTTTTTAAAAATCAAAGATATGTATAATGAATATTGTGATATTTTTAAGCAAGTCAACGCAACTGAAAGCTGAAAGGTAGAAGACGAATGAAGTAGTTGAAAAAAAATTGTAAAACGTTACCAACAAGTCTATAAAAGAAAGCTCATGATGACTCTAAAGCAATATTTCACAAGTTTATTAAAAAAAACATGCACCAAGGGCATGCACAATGAACATAAATATCTTAGGATTTAATATTCATAACCGATGTTTTAATTTAATATTTTCTTTATTATTCCTTAATGAGATTGCATGAGATAATTATTGCATTTCAATTATTGTTCATCTTGAAATTTAGTATATTTCTATCACGATATTGTTTAAGAAAATATTTCAGAGAATTTTAAAAAATACACATATTTAAATTATAAGTTAGACATATTTCTAATCTCTAAGTTTTAAAATGAAATTAAAATTTCAGTATTTTAATATTTTAGTTTAAAAACTTTAAAAATAAATAAATATAATTCTTTTAACATAATTATGTTAAATTTTTTGATGTATTAAATAATATTTGAAAATAGAATTTAAACTGAGATTTAAGTTGTTTATATTATTTAATGTTAATATGAAAGATCACTTAACATATAAAACTTTTAAAAAACATTAATTTAAGAAAATATATTTATTAATTTTTAAAATGTGGAAATCAAATTAAAATTTAATACAAAAATGAAATCCAACGTCGAGTACAAAATTAAAAATTAAAAATATATTTAAGTCATAATTATTTATAACTTCAATTCTTAAACAATACAAGACCGTTAAATATATTGAGATAAATTCTTTTAATAAAGGTAAAAAGAATTTAAAATTTCTTTTTCGTTTTCTTGGTGTAAAGTTAATAGAAAGCAATTAATTTTAAGACTAATTTTATGTTTTTTTTGTCTTAAACTGCGTTTTCATTTTCAGAAATAATGCTAATATTATTATCTTAGTATATTTAAAGTAAAAAAACAACCTACGTCAAATTATTTTCATACTATATAATAAGAAGTATGAATGATGAAATTTTGACATATGGAAGGTTGAAAATGGTGACAGAGAAATATAGTATATAATTTTGTGGTGATCCATGTCATGTGTGATGTCTGACACCTCTGTCCATTGACTCACCAAAGAAGCAGTTGCCACCTTCTATTCCAACTCATTCACACGTGTCCTCCTTGGAAAACCAAACTCTGAGTGGGACCCACTCCTTCCAACATCACAATCACACTCTATTTGCCACCCAAGCGCCCCCTTCAAAATAGTCAAATTCATCTAATTCACTTTAATTGTTCAGTAAAAAATTAATACCTAAAATTTTTTCTTACTAAATTTAGGAT